GGGTCACCATGAGACAGAATTGACTCGGTGGTAAACAGCAACATATTCTAGGTCTGGCTGTCCACTTCTGAAAGATCACAGCCATTGGAAACCCTGTGGAGTGCAGTTCTACCGTCGCCCAGAGTCAGAGGTGACTTGATGGCAACTGATTTGGTTTTGGTATTTCATTTGACTCACAGTAAATGGAATGTTGTATGAGAGTAAGTCAGAAGTATCGCTCTTGGGTTCTAGTTCACACATGCATGGGATCATTCCAAATGAAATAGATTTAAATGTGTCTCCGCCATCAGTGGATGTCTGCAGACCAGTTCTCTCAGTAACACACTTATCTCAGTCTCATTAAAGGTGGCTTCTAACAGGAGGGTACTTTTCATGCTGTGGAAAAAAAGGGGTTTTTGGGGTCAGGGCTAATACCAAATTTTTAACAAAACTCAAGTAGACATCTTCTCAAATCATTGAAACTTTGCAACTAACTTATAGGAATGCTGTCTCACACAAAACAACAGTTTTTAGATGGGTCAAAGGTTATAAGGAAGGTCGGGAAGACCTCAAAGATGAATTCAAGGTAGAAAGGTCAGCTCAGAAGGTTATGGTGACTGATTTTTGGGATCCCAAAGAGGTTATCTTGATATGTTTTCTTGAAGGACACAGGACAATTACAGGGGGTATTACAAAGTTTAAAGAAAACTTAGAACTTTGTGGGAGAGAAACAGGCCAGGAAAGTTGCACTAAGGAATTTTTTTCATCCCAACAATACATTTGCTGATCCTTTGAGGGTAGCAAGGGCTGTCTTAGGAGGATTTCACTGGGAAATTGTATCCCATCCACCCGCCAGCCCTGATCTTGCCCCTTCAGACTTCATTTTGTTTTCCAAACGCAATGATATTTCAAAGGAACATGATTTGATTCCCTGAAGGATGACCAAACTGCCATTGGTGTGACATAAGGGAAAGACTACAGAGTTCTTTGGGACGGGTTAGAGAGCTGGAGACACCTCCTTCAGAAGTGTGTAGACCTAGATGGAGGAGGAGAGATTGAGAAACAGTAGCTCACATGTTGATCTTTTTGTTTAGTAAAGGGCTCTAGGATTTTGTAATGATACTTTTTGACTTTCCCGTGCACAGTGGGACGCAGTAAAGTTTGGTGGAATGTGCATAGGTTGAAATCAACAGAGCCAGGCTCCGGAAAAGCCAGATTTGCGTTGGGCAAGTCCTTTCACCAGTTTCCTTGTCTGGTGATTCATTATAGGGACAATGAGGTCATTTTTTCCCTGGAACACTGCCAATTTTTAATTCTTCAACTTGAATGTAAAGATTTGTGTTCCTTTTTGTATGTACCAATAGCTTCTCCATTTCAGAAATCGCTATTTTTTAATGTGAAACTTCAGTTTTCTTCTGGTGTGGATGCTGGCCAGAGAATACACGTGGAAAAGGAAGTCATGTGTTTCATCTTCTTGGCATAGGATGTCCTTGGCTGCAACGTCTCACCAGTGCCTGGGTTCCAGCCTCAAGATGAGAGTCTGGTGTATTTGTGCTACGTGGTCTCCAAAGAAGACGGCTCCTTCTCCTTCTACTCCCTGCCAAGTGGGGGCTACACGGTGGTGAGTGAAGCAAATTTCCATGCTGTGCTGGTTCGGGGCTCTTGTGACACAGTATTTGCCAACACCATCAGTGTGTTGAAGGACTCAAGGGGTTCTGTGAACATTCTTTCCAATAGTTTTGTGCTGCGGTGGTTAAGGCACTTGACAACCAAAAGGTCAGGGGGGCTTGAACCCGCTAGCCACCACGTGGGAGAAAAATGGGATATTTATTCAGCTTCCATAAAGATTTACGGCCTCGAAGCCCTATGGGGCAGTTCAGTTCTGTCCTAAAGGGTTGATGTGAGTCGGAATTGACGTGAAGACAACAGTCATGATGAGACTGCCCTCGTAATAATGGCAAAGCATGCAGGGCTGGCATCCTCTGTCAAAGAGTGCAGCAGATGAAGTGAGGGAGGGTCTCTCCTGGCCGGCCTCATCTTGGCCTGCCTGTGTCATTTGTGGACTACTAAATCGAGGATTAATATTGATGGTTGAGTCATGCTATTGGCTCTTAGTAATTCAAACACTTCTTCCTTCCAGGTTCCATTCTATAGAGGGGAGAGGATTACTTTTGATGTCGCTCCCTCCAGACTTGACTTCGTAGTGGAACATGACAGCCTGAAAATTGAGGTAAGACCTTCCTGTCTCCTGCAGAAATAAGCACTCAAGTTCACGGCCCTGGGCAAAGGCATTGCAAACATATTTAAACAGCAACAACAACAACAAAACAACAAAACCCAGTATTTTATCTAGAAGAACTATTAAGAAAATGGGGGTATTGGACTGTATCCAAGTTTAGCCTCAGATCCACTAGATCTGCCACTTCTCTTACATACTTGTTCATTTTAGTAGGAAAATTGGTTTCCCAGTGATAGAAAGGAGTCCTGGTGTGGCACAGTGGGTTAAATCGCTGGACTGCAGAATTGGTTTGAACCATAGAGTCGGCGGTGTAAGCTCACCAGCTGCTCCTTGGAAACCCTCTACAGGGTCGCTATGGGTCAGCACTGACTCGGTAGCAATTAACAACAACAAGTGATAGGAAGCCTAGTGATGCAATCGTGAAGGATACTGAAAGCACCACAAATTGCCAGGAGAATGAAGAACTCTGCCTTGGAAGAGCTGTAGCCAGAATGGCCAGACTTGGTCTCTCCAGTCCCTGGAGAAGGACATCATGCTTGGTAAAGTGGAGGATTGATGAAAAAGAGGAAGAGCCCCAATGAGATGGACTGGTACACTGGCTGCAGCTGTGGGCTCAAGTGTAACAGTGATTGTGAGGAGAACGCAGGACCTGGCAGTGTTTGGTGCTGTTGTACATATGGTCACTGTCTCATCCCATGTCTGGACGACTTCCAGAACTGGCTGTGAGGAATCTTCTAGATAGAGTTACTGGAAAAAACAAATTTTAATTGTTTTATTTTCATGCTAAATTTGAAAGTACTGTGTTAAAGTAACTTAAACTGGTGGGAGCTAGCTTTTCAGTCACATGCAGAGTGGGGCGCTGATCCTGCTTTGTAAGACTCAGTAAGATGTTTGAGTTGCTGTGTGCTAAAAGGGGCCTGGGAAGGTGAGAAGCTGATGTTCTTGCTTCAGGGGCTGGCAGAAAAGGATGGCAGTGGGTGAGTGGGCGGGCAAAGGCATTCCTGCCTCAGGGCCAGATACCCATTTTTAAAGTGAGAGACGACTGGTAATTTCAGGGAGTGAGAGGACCTATGAGCTTCAGGAGCTCAGCCACCATGCAGAGTCTTATTCCCTATTGTGCTCCTGCTGTGACGAGAGCCTGAGAACTAGTAGGTGCCTAAGACAAATACTTGAACAGATATTTAAATTAAGAAGGGAATGGATAGATTGAATGGGCCAGATCTTTATGGATGGTTCAAGAAGGGCTTCCTGAGTTAACAGGAAGCCCTTTTAGTTTTTTAAACCTCCGTCTCCAATGTATTGCATTCATCAATCACTCAAGAGTCAATTATAGAGTGTTTACCGTGTACCAGGTGACTAAACTAAGACAGAAAAGGTCCCCATCTTCATGGTACATATGTTTTTGTAGGAGGGAGATGAACTGTAAGAAATCCAACAGACACGATTTTGATCTTGGCCAGTTTTGGTCACGAACATAAAATAGGTTCGCGTGGCAGACGGTGACCGGTTGGGGCAGGGGACAGGGACACCTGGAGATGAGATCATTGGAGAAAGGTGCTTGGAGATGGTGGCTCCTTCCAGATCTTCCCCAGATGTGGGGCAGTGTGATCCAGGCCGAGTGGGTGGCTGGTGTTTAAGAGCTTACACGTGTACTTGTAGAACCACAAGCCAGGTGACTGCAGAGAAAGCTCACAAGCACTTGTCAACTCATAGTGTCAAGCTGTGTCTAAGTGCAGCAAGTCAGGTGCTGAGTGTAAGTGATGGAGGACTGAGTAAGGTGGTCTGGTGGAGAGAGTGAGGGGCTTTTAGCTTCTTGTGGGCAAAGGTCAGAGCAGAGGGGTTCATGAGCCCACAGGACTGACTGATGCTATAGGTGCAGGAGGGGTACCTCCTAGGAGTTAAGCTTGGGAGACTGGAAATGGGGGTGTTGTGAGAGGTGGAAATGGGAAGGGAGCAAAAGTAGAGAAGTTTTCACAAGTCTAATTTCACTGGATCACAAGTCAGTGAACCTGTCTTTTTTTATTCAATTGTTCAACCAGTGTACCGCGACTACAACCAAGAAGACAGACAAGGTCCCTAATCACATGAACTTCCAGTCTCCTGGGCAGCTAGACAGACATTAAATTATCTCACAAATAAATACTCAAACTGTTCTTGTGAGAAATGCCACTCAGCTGAGGTGCTAGCAGCAGGTGATGTGGCACGGGGTGCCATCCAGGAGCTCAGGCCAGGCTTTCCCAGGGCAGGAACCTGTCGGCGGAGACTGAAGGATGAGTTGGAGCTAGCCAGTCTCTGGGTGGATTCAGAGAGAGCCTGGCTGGTGTCTGGGACTGGGAGAAGGTTAGCACCGGAGGATGTGGTGAGCAATGGCGTGGGTGCCACAGGAGGGCTTTTGTGGGTCAAGCAATTGAGAACCCTCTTCTCTCCATTTTCAGCCCGTGTTCCACGTCATGGGGTTCTCCGTCACTGGCAGGGTCTTAAATGGACCTGAAGGAGAAGGTGTTCCAGAGGCAGTGGTCACTCTCAATAATCAAATCAAAGGTGGGCAGACACACGTCTCCTGGGGCCCGGGGCCAGTGTCTTCTTTAAATCACAGAGCAAAATGGAAAGAAAATCGTAATGACCACATGAAAATGTGCCCCTTTTCATCTCAAGGGTTTTTGTGTACCCGTTGTTGTTAATTGCCACTGAGTTCATTCTGACTCATAGTGACCCTGTGTAGTGTTTCCCAAGGAGTAACTGGTGGGTTGAAACCACCTACCTGATGGTTAACAGTCAGGGCTTATTGTTGTTAGATTGTAAGGTGCACAACAGAATGAAACGTTGCCCGGTCATGCACCATTCTCACAGTTGTTAACACTTGAGCCCATAGCTGCTGCCACTGTGCCAGTTTATCTCCTCGGGGGTCTTTCTCTATTTCACTGACCCGCCACTTTACCTAGCCTAATATCCTTCTCCAAGGATAATGTGTCTGAAATAGGAGAGATAAAGTCTCACCATCCTGGCTTCTAAGGAGCACTCTGACTGTACTTCTTCTAGTGCAGATTGGTTTGTTTTGGCAGTCCATGGTACTTTGAATATTCTCCAACACCATAACTCAAATGTAGTAATTCTACTATGGTCTTCCTTATTCACTGTCCAACCTTCACGTGCATCTGAGGTTATTGAAAATACCATGGCTTGCGTCAGACACACCTTAGTCCTTAAACTGACAATCTTTGCTCTTGAACACTTCAAAGAGGTATTGTGCAGCAGATTTCCCCAATGCAGCCTGTCATCTGATTTCTGGACTGTTCCTTCTGTGAGTGTTGACAGTGGATCTGAGGAAAATGAAGTGCTTTACAGCTTCAGTCTTTTCCCTGTTTAACATGATGTTATTTACTGGTCCAGTGGTAAGGATTTGTGTTTTCTGTAAATTGATGTGCAAACTATTCTGAAGTCCACTGCTTTAGGGATATGCAGTTGTTTGCGGTTCATCCTTTGTTTGTTTTTGTATTCCAGTGAAAACCAAAGCTGACGGCTCGTTCCGCCTGGAAAATATAACAACGGGGACATACACCATCCAAGCTCAGAAGGAGCACCTTTACTTTGAGACAATTACAATAAAAATCGCACCTAATACACCCCAGCTGGCTGACATCATCGCAACAGGGTAAGACCCAGTCCCTCTCTTTCCATCCATGAGTCTGGAGTCCTCAGCGGCTGTATCTTTCCATGTCCTCATCTCTGCTTCTATCTCTGGTGTCACTACTTCCCTGGATAGAGTTCCACATTCTGCTCATGTTCTTCTCCCTTGATGGTCCTAGGGTCCTCTGTTCCTAGACTGTAAGATTAACTACTCCCCTCTTTTTGTTACAAAACTTCTACCTTTACAGTTGTGACAGTTGCCATCAGTCATGGTAATAATTACTCACTATTGAATCGTGAAGAATCTCATCTCTATCTCCAGAGCCATCTAGACAAGATGAGAGCTATTCAGTGGGGATTCTGCCTTTCCCCAAATACTCTAAAACTAAACTTCCTCCTGAAAACTTATAAGCCAGTCACTTAGTGCCTTTATCGCCTCCTCATTTTAGGTAGCCAATGTCCAAGTTGCCCATTCTTATCTACCCTGTATACAGAGGGGATAGGATCGATACTTGATGTGAAGACTCCTTCCCTTCCAATTGGTATTTTGAACTACTACATCCATGAGTATAGGTCAGGTTCATCAAATTGTAGCAATTTACCCACGTTTACTTTATCAAAAATATATTTTTTTATCTTCCTCTAGTCAAGTTCTGATTATCAAGCCATCGAGGCTAGGTCAAATGGGTTAACTTAATTACTTTTCTGTTCATGTTTGTCCGCTTGCTTTTGTCTCTGTATATATATATATAACATCAAAAGTGAGGAGGGCATCATTGATAGCCCTGGCATATTGTAAGGCCTGAGTAAGGCCTCGATTTCTTAGGCAGCATGCAGCCCCTACATTAAGGATGAGCCCACAGTCTGAGTCTGTGGCGACTCTACGACCGCTGATCCAGTTACCTGAAGCATTTTTATGAACCATAGTTTCTGAGAGTTGGTTCTGCAGTGGGGGCCATGCCAGCTTTATTACCCGGGACACGAAGAACACAGCGTTGGGCTCTGGCCTTGCCGTGCCTCTTCCCTACGCAGTTGCTTTTGAAAAACCTGAGTCATTTGGGCTACATTTCTGTCTTTTCGTTAAGATGAAACACATTTCTGGAATGAGGGCGGAAGGAGAGATGCGTACTGTGGATAAAGAAAAACCGTTTTTGATAGAACTGAGTTCTTCCTGCTGTGATGAATGCCTTTCTTTTGGGCAGGTTCAGTGTCTGTGGTCAGATATCAATCACCCGCTTCCCTGACACAGTCAAGCAAATGAGTAAATATAAAGTTGTCCTGTCATCTCGAGACAAGAACAAGTCTCTGGTCACTGTGGAGACAGATGCTCACGGATCATTTTGTTTTAAAGCAAAACCAGGGACCTACAATGTCCAGGTATGAAAAGGGTTGCATTTTATTTAATATTTGAGGAAAACACTGCTTTTTAAAGGGCTCTGATCAGCCACCATGGGGCCCGAGAAGGAGCATGTCACTTGATAGCTTCTCATGTTGAAATCTGTCTGTCCCTGCATGCCACCAGTTCCAAGAGGAGGTGATAGGCCTCTCAGCTTTTTGGTCCTGATGTTGATCAGGGATTAGTGTCAGGTGAAGGTGTAGTGGGTAAATGCTTGGCTGCTAACCAAAAGGTCAGTAGTTCGTATCCACTGGCTGCTCCACAGGAGGTGGACAAGACAGTCTGCTTCCGTAAAGATGGCCACCTTGGAGGCCATGGGACAGTTCTGCCCTGTCCCTTGGGGATGGACTGACTGGAGGGTCTAGCGTCTGGCTTCCAGCCACGCCTCCTTCTCGCTGCTGTAGAATATTCATGAATTCAGATGGAAGGAGACCCCAGTGACCTCTGTGTTGGGGGCAGCTCAGTAATATCTGATGTTTGTGGCTCTGGAACCCAAGGCCAGGATGGGGCCACCCATTTCCTCCCTCACCCTGAGCTGAAGACGGCAGGGCAGACAGGCAGATGAGCAGGAGAGCCTGGCCTGAGGTCTACCAGAAGAGTGAATGTGTGTGCGCACACAAGGGTCCAGAGGCCGGCCCCCTTGGCCTTTCCAGTGCCGTGAATCTGCTCTCTCGGATCTCAGGATCCGTTTCCCATTCAGTCAGCCTCGTCCCATCCTCTCTGGAAGAACAAGTAAGGGGAGGGACGAGGGCTGTGAAAGTTCGCCTTGATACTGCTCTTCCCCGTAGGCTCCAGTGGGGTCCTTTTCCCCAGCAGGGAGAACAGTGGTCTCCTGTCACCAGAAAGTGAGAAATGTGACCAGACAGGTGCCTTTGTTGTTAGACCGTGTGTAGGGTTTTAAAGCGCTGACGTCACAGATGACAATACAGTGCTTATCCTGTGGTGAAGCAGCAGGACTCTTAACAGGTGCCTTTCTGGGTATTAAATACTAGACGTCAGAGGCTGAAGGTGGCTACGCTGAAAGCCTTTGGAAGCCCTTTGGGATGTATGACGAGGCTGGAGTCGATTTTCACTCATAGAAATCCTATAGGACAGTAAGGTTTCCAAGGCTTTTCAGAAGCAGACTGCCTCAGCTTTCTCCTGCAGAGCGGCTGGTAGATTTGAACTGCCAACAAGTGCTCAGCTGCTGCACTCCTCAGTCTTTGTCCCCAGGGGTAGACTAGGCTGCTGCTGTCCTGTCCCCACCCTCCTCTTCCTCTGAGAAGGGCACACAGAGGCAAATGGAGGAAAACACTTCACTGACAAATTCATAGCTTATATTACCTGTGACAAAACCAGGAGAGGGACTGTGGTTTTGTCTGTTTTCTGTCAGTATCCAGGTAGCCAGTGATAGTTTTGTGTGCCTTGAAGAGAACTATGCCAGATACACTTTAGTGTGTGCCCATGGGCTATCAAAGGCTAATATTTTCTATTTGTTTAGAAATATGTTTCTTCCCACAGGCTGTTTGTTGATTCCTTGTGATTATAATATAAAATCAGACCTAGCAATGAGCCTTTGCCCTTCAGAATATATTTAGCCTCGAGTGCCCTGTGGACCTGGAGCAGCAACCCCAGTACAGCCTCTGAGGTTTGTTCTGTGTGTTCCTGCAGGTGATTGTTCCTGAGGTGGAGACCCGAGCGGGCCTGACTCTCAAACCCTCAATGTTTCCTCTCACAGTGACGGACAGACCCGTGATGGACGTGGCTTTCGTGCAGTGTTTGGCATCTGTTTCTGGGAAAGTCTCTTGTTTGGGTAAGATGTCAGCAAATGCAAGGGCAGATTGGTTCAGGGAACTAGGCAGGAGGGGCGGCGTTTGGAGGAAGTCTTCCTCCCTGGGGAGCACTAACGGTGAATGCAGCAAGGTCCCAACTGTGTGGCATTCTTTCTGAATGGTTGTCATTGTGACCGCTGGGGATGTCTGGCCTGGCGTGAGTCCCGCCAGCTGACTCTCACAGGAAGATGGGATTAGGCCCAGATGTCAGTCCCTGTTATCATTTACCTGCTTTGAAATCGAACCCATTTTACCTGCCCATCTTCAGTTTTTCTCTTGTAAATTGGGGATGCTGTTCCACTCTGGGGGTTTTCATGGCACTTCATTGTGATTGTCTCAAGAGGCAGTAGAGCCCAGTGGTTCAGAATATAGCCTCTCAACCAGATTGTAGGGACTGGAGTCCGAGCTTGTGTGGCCTGGGCCTGCTGAGCTCCTACTACCTGAAGTTAGCATGAGTCACTCTGCCGGCTTGTTGGGTTGTTGGGAGATTATAAAGAGTCCGTCAGGTGTAGTTTATGGAACTAGACCACAGAGAGAGTCAGATAAGTCTTTGTGGCTGTTATTGTTGCTGTTGTTGTAATTCTAAAGGACCTAGTCCTGTGCTTGGTAAACAGCAGACATTCAGTATCAACGCTTCATCACCTTTTCTGTTTTTTCTCTGGACTTTTGTTTGTGTTCCACCAGTGTTACCTCCTCTGTGTTCTTTAGTGCCTGCCTCACTTTGTAGGAGCTCCGTAAACGTAGCTCTCCCTCTCTTCCCTTTCCCTCTGGCTAGTGAGTGATGGAGCTGCCTTCACCATGGTGTGCGCAGGTCATCAGAGTGGATACGTATTAGGTGTAAAGAAACCTTCCTGCCTCTGCTTTTCAGGAGCTGAATGGCAGTCAGCATCCAGAGAGGTGGAGGATTTACACACTCGTGTGGTCTGTGAGGGCAGCACCCAGAGAGGTCCAGGTTTAGAATGGGGTGTGTGATCTGTGTGGTCAGGCAGCTGAGACCCCTGAATGGACCCCAGCTCTGCATCTCCCCTCCTGTGTTTTGTCTGCAGACACCTGTGGTGACTTGCTGGTGACCCTGCAGTCCCTGAGCCGCCAGGGTGAGAAGCGGAGCCTCCAGCTCTCAGGCACGGTCAACTCAGTGACTTTCACATTTGACAACGTGCTTCCCGGAAAATACAAACGTGAGCAACAGTCCACTGCCCTTGCACTTCCTGTCTCTCTGCAGTGCAATTTGCAAATTGTGCCACAATTATTTGTTCGACTCCTTTGCCCTTTGGTATGTAAGCCTCGGGCAGTAATGTAAGAGTGGAGCACTGAGGTCCAACAGGCAGCTCTCGGACCCTGGAAAAAGCTCCACTGGTGAGCTCTACCCCTTGGCGAGTGATTGGCTCCCTCTGAAACTGTTTCCTCTTCTGTAAAGCAGGATATAAGACTAAATGAATAACATTTGTAAAGCCCTTGCACAGGATATAAACTCACAGCCAGTGAGTCCATTCTGAGTCCTAACAAACCCACAGGACAGAGTGGCATTGCTCTCTAGGGTTTCCAAGGTTGTAAATCATGACGTGAACAGACTGCTTCATCTTTCTCCATCAAAGCGACTGGTTGTTACTACTACTGACCTCGTGGTTAGCAGTCTGACATGTGACTCCCTGAGCCACGAGGGCTCTTTTCATAGGCAGTAGAAGTCCTGGGGTGTGTAGGGTAAGCACTGGAGTGAAACATCGGTGGTTCAAATCCACCAGCCACTCCTCGGAAACCCTATTCAGGGTCGCTGTGAGTCGGAACCCACTCGATGCACAATATATTGCTCTTGTTAAGTGCATCGAATGGGTTCTGACTCACAGCGACCCTGTATAGGGTTTCCGAGGAGTGGCTGGTGAGGTTGAACTGCTGACCCTGTGGTTCAAACCAATCTTACAGTCCAGTGCCACACCAGGACACATATGTATATAGGCAAATATGAATTCCCAAGCAGCCCACTTGTTGCCCATATTTAAGCCTTTTCCAAAGATCAGTATGGGGCTCCTGGCAGTTGATCATTTATAGACTACTTATTTTGAGAATTATATTTGCTCTTCTATTCAGGGGTGCCAAACTATGGCCTGAAGGCTTACTGCCTGTTTTTATAAGTAAAGTCTTATTAGAACAGCCATGTCTTTTGCTTGTGCTTTATCTTTGACCAACGACCTGGACTCTACTGTGGCAGACTTGAATAATTGAGACTGTGGAGTTCTTAAAGCCTAAAGATTTAATCACTGGCCTTTTACAGAAAAAAGTGTGCGGACCCTGAATGTCTTGTTTGCAGCCTGATCCTTTAGGTCCAATCAAGTTTCTTTCTTGATGCTTTTAATGACCATTGTTTTTTCTTTAGCAGTTTCCTGTCGTGTGCAATGCTGACTCTCTCTGTCTCTCAGTTAGTGAATTCCCTTCTGTGCCTTCTGGCAGGTAGTGTGGTGGGGAGGCAGTTGGCTTTCCAGTCAGGTTTCTGTGTTGTGTGCTTGTCCAGTCAGCATCGTGCATGAGGATTGGTGCTGGAAGAACAAGAGCCTGGAGGTGGAAGTTCTGGAGGAGGGTGTGGCCGCGGTGGAGTTCAGGCAGACGGGCTATATGCTGAGGTGCTCGCTGTCTCACGCCATCACTCTGGTATGTACAGCTGGTGATAGTTCTTTTGTTGGGAAGACCACTGTTGCTGTTCCGTGTTGTTGAGTCACTTTCAACTCACAGTGACCCTCTCTAGGGTTTCCAAAGAGCATCTGGTGGGTTTGAACTGCCCACCTTGCGGTTAACAGTGCACTGTTTATCCTACAGTGCCAGAAAATAAGATGGACTAGCAAACCAAGATTATTATAGCCACAAAATCCCCAAACCAAACCTTCTAATTAATTCCGACTCATAGTGACCCTGTATAGCAAGGGTGGGGGACATCCGACCTGCGAAATCATTTGATCTGGCCTTGCCAAGGCGATCAGTTTCAGCCATCATGTTGTTACTGCTAAGTGCTGTTGAGTCAGCTCTAACTCCTAGTGACCCTATATAGGGTTTCTGTAGAAACAGCTCGTGAGTTTGAACCGCTGACTTTGCAGTTCAAACCGACCTTGTGGTTCAGTGCATTATCCTGCAGCGCCCCACTAGGACTCCAGCCATCACGTTGTTGTTAAGTGCCACTGAGTTGGTTCTGACCCTTAGTGACCCTGTATAGGGTTTCTGAGGAGCGGTTGGTGAGCTTGAACCGCCGACCTGCAGTTCAAACAATTTTGCAGTCCAGCGCACTAATACACAGCACCACACCAGGACTCTAGCCATCACATTAGCAGGGCACTTAAATGAAATGTTTGACCAAATATAGCAGGCTAAATTATAAGTTGATAATTTTGTCTGGTCTATGAATGATGTTACAAATTTTGGCAGATGAAAGGTTTCCTACCCAATACTACTCATCTATACAGGAAGGCAGCCTCATCTTTCTTCCTTGGAGTGGCTAGTGGGTTTGAACCACCAACCTTGTGATTAGCAGCCCAGTACCTAACCCACGGTGCTACAGTATCCCCAGGAATCCTGTTAGAACCACAGTCAAGTCTTACTTTCTTTTTGTTGCTCAACTTGCCCACCTAATATAGACGCATTAAAGATGACAACTAGCCCCGCTTTAAATGGGAGCTCTGAAGGGTGATTTGGGGAGCTCTTGGTGGGGGGCTTTTGGAGCCTGGGACAAGGTTATTTGGTGCTTCTGAGCTTCCAGTTTCTCAATTAAAATTAGGATCCAAATACCCACTTCTCAAGCTTGTAGTGAGGTTTAAGTAAGCCTCTTAGTTATTGAAAGGTTCTTGGGTGCCGCTCAAAGGAGCCATAATGACGCAGTGGGTTCAGCATCTGGGCTGCTAACCACAAAGTTGGTTCAAACCCAGCAGTCACTCCACAGGAGAAGGATGTGGCAGTCTGCTTCCATAAAGATTTCCATCTTGGAATCGTCTGGGCGGCTCTCCCCTGTTCTCTAGGTTCGCTCTGAGGTGGAATCGACTTGGTGGCAGTGGGTTGGGTTGGGTTTGGTGTACTCTGAACCCAAAGCCGTTGAGTCACTTTCACCTCATGCAGCCCTGGAAGACCGAGGGTCTCCTCTCCCTCCTGTCTTGGGGTGCAGTGGGTGCCTTACGACAGCTGTTGTTCTTTAGCAGGTGCAGCCGAGAATGCTTCTGCCTTGTGTTGATCCTGGTGCTCGAGTTCCCTGGTGGACTGAAGTCTCTGTAGATTGACAGGGCTAGAGGGCAGTGTAGTCCTGAGTTCTCAGCATCAAGCAGTGTCGTTTTAGACCCCCGTGAAAGAACAGACAAATGGCAATGAAGAGCCTGCGTTTGATAGACACTGGAGGATTGGGAGCTGTCATTGCTGATACTTGTGTCTTGCTTGGAGCACTCAGCAAGCAGTGTTAGGGCTGGGGAAGGGGCATGCACAGCCCATCCAGACTTCTCCTCCAGAATGGTGGTGGTGGTAGTGTGCCGTGGAGTCAGTTCCCACTCACAGTGACCTTATATCGGGTTTCTGAAGCTATAAATCTTTATGGGAGCAGAAAGCCTCATCTTTCTCCTGCTGAACAGCTGGTAGTTTCAAACTGCTGACCTTGAGATTAGCAGCCCGAGTCATACCAGAGCTCCTTTCCTCCAGGATATGGGCCCATTAATACCCAGTTGAGAATAAGTGATAGAGGAAGACCATTCCTTGCCTACGAACCCCTCCGGTGGATTTTCTCCCTTAGAACAGGATCCACGGTCCCTAAGCACACCCTCCTAATGCCACCTCCCACCCTCCTATTCTGCGCCTTGCTCATTGTGCCCTGCCACACAGGTCTTCTCCAGTACCTCGACTTCACTCTCTTCCCAGCCTGCTGTGTGATTTTTCCTCATATTTCAGGCCGCAGCCCCAGGCCACTTCCTGAACAGCAGCAAGCTCACCTAGCCTCCCCGGCCACCCCTCCTTTTATCCTGCTTCTGGGTGCTGTTCTCTTCAGAGCTCTGTCATCAACATGATCTGAAAGTTCCCCATTGGCTTACAGAACCCTAGATTTCTGTCTTCCTGTTTTAGAATGGAAGCCCCCTGACTGCAGGGGCCACACCCATCTCATCCAGACCTAGCTCTGTGTCTGTCATCCAGCAGGTGCTGAGTAAATAGTTCATGGAATGAGAAAAAGAGCACGTTTTGGTTGGGAGTTGTGGAAGGTTTTTAATTTTCTTGTGGCACCCAAGAGCTCAAATGATTAATGAGCCAAACAGATGACTGGTCTGGGAACAGAAATATTATTAATCATTTTGGTGTCTCCATCTCCCTACTAAGTCATCGTGTTGGCTTTGGTCCCTTAGGAATTTTATCAGGATGGAAATGGACCTGAGAACGTGGGGATTTATAACCTCTCCAAAGGAGTCAACCGATTCTGCCTGTCCAAGCCTGGTAAGTGTGGAAGGATTGATGAGCTCCTAGTTAGAGCAGTGGGAAGGCCTGAGAGTGTGGTTTCTAAGGCTCTTTTTCTCCCGTGGTTCTGTTTGCACCATGCTGTCAGTTTCTGATCATTTTCAGGGAAATCTTGATTTTCTCTCTCTGGCCCCTGGAGGAAGCAATATTATTAGCTGAGAGTAAGAATTGGGGATTAGCAAGTAAGTTTGAGTTGGGCTTTAAACACATCATATCATTGGCTCGTGACCTCTCTCCTTAGCCATCTTTTAAAAAATCAAAATGAGATCATCTCCCAGCACTCTTAAAATCCTTCAATGTCTTCTCTCACTTTTGTGCCTGCTTCTCAACCACTTTAGTAAGATTTGGTTTGTACATCACAACATACACCCATTTGAAATGTATAGTGCAGTGATTTTTTAGTAAATTTACCAAATTGTGCAACCACCCCTGTTACCCATTTTTGGAACATTTTATCATTCGATCCTGTTCACAGTTAATCCCCATTTCTAGCCTGAGGCAGCCACTCATTTACTTTGTGTCTCTAAAGATTTGCTTCTTTTATTTAAACAGTTCATATCAATGGAATCCTACAGTATGTGGTCTTTTGTGTCTGGCTTCTCTCTCTAACTATAGTCAGTTCAAGGTTCATTTGTCATGTGGCGTGTGTCAGTGCTTCAGTCTTTTTTTGCCAAATAATATTCCATTATATGGCTATGCCACATTTTATTGACTCATTCATTAGTGGATGTCTGCGTTATCTGGAAGGAATAGTGATGCTTTGAGATTCAAGTACAAGTTTGTGTGGACGCATGACTTCATTTTCCTCGGGTAGATACCTAGCGGTGGAATTGCTGGATCATCTGGTAAATTTACGTTTAACTTTGTAAGAAGCTGCCAATTTCTTTTCCAAAGTGGTGGTACCATTTTGCTTTCTCACAAAATGAGGGTAGCAGTGTTTCTCCGTACCCTCACCAACATTTGTTATTGTCTGCCTTTTTGATTATTGCCATCCTGATGGGTCTGAAGTGGTGTCCCATTGTGATTTTATTTTGCATGTCCCTAACAAATAATCCAGTGGCTTCTCTTGATTCTCGTGATAAAATACGAAATCTTTAACCTGACCTGGACATTCTATAGTCCCTGCCTGAATTGTTAGCCTCTCATCCTGCCAGTCTTTCTTGTCTGTCCACTCTGTTCACCTGTCACGGTGGGCCCTCATCAGTCTGTCTGTGAGGGTGCCTTCTACTGCCCGTCTCAAAGCCTGAGCAGCAGTAGCATCAACAAGTGGGGGTTATTTGACTCGAGACCTGAAGTCTGGAATGCTGTGGCTACTGACATGGACCTGGCACCTGAGACACGTGAGGGTTGGTGTCTGTGATTCTCCTGATTGTTCCATTGTGCTTTTTTGCCTTATGGTTGCAAGATGGCTGCTGTTGTCTCAGAAACCTTGTTGTGTTCAAGGCAGGAAGATGAGGAATGGGGTCGGCCAGCGTTTTCCCATACCCCTTCCTTCATTAAACTCCTGCTGTCTTCTCTTGTCCAAACCTTGTCAGATGGTCACTTCTGACTAGTTGCAAGAGAGACTGGGATAGTTGGATAATTGCCTCAAGCTGAGCGCATTGCTGCCACCAACATAACCGGAGTCTGTGGGGAAGCAACTAACGTGTGTGACACCAATGACATTCTCTGCCTCCTCACCTACCTTCTGCCTTCTTGCCGTAACTTCAGTGCTGCGTTCAAGTGTTACTTCCCCAGGGCAGGGTGGCCCTCCAGTCTCATTCCACTCTCATTATGCCCTTCCCCATAGCTCGGTTTTGCTCCCTTACTGCACTCGTCACGGCTGCTATCCGTGCATCTGCTGAAGGTCTCTCCATAGATGGTAAGCTTCATAAAGGCAGGGCCAGCCTGTGTTCCTCATTCTGTCGGCACTATGTGTTGAATGAAGAAACCTACTCATTTTATGGTCACAGCACTGGGGCTTACTCGTGTGTGGAAAATGACAGGAATGGTTTGAACTAATGTCAGGTTTTTGTAGAAGTCTGGTGAAAATATTGGTTAATGATCAGCTAGGGGATAAATTACTACACTTTGCTCCTTCCAGAAATGGACTGTACTCCCCTAGCCCGTGGTGAAATTTGCCTCCAGAGACTCAATGGCTTGCTCGTTTTTCCTCCTCTTCTGGGGCTGTCTCCCTTTGCCCCACCTAAGAATATCTATCAGAAAGGTTCAGGCTGTGTATACCTTTTTGTTTTTTTAATAGTCTTTTAAGTAGAAAATTGTCCTCCATCTGATTTGCAGTAGAAACGTGCTTTCCGTTCCTCCTGTGCGTGAATCTGTAAGCGTGGTCCATGCAGATTAGACTGCAATGAGTGGTTCCGTGATGGAAAATGAAAATCTGTGCTTGAGTGGGCTAGAAATGGACTGGGCAGCGGGAAGGATGTCTGCCTGGCATTTCTGAGGCGGGTCCTGCACATCGGGGTTATGTTCTGAGCCTTCAAATGAGAGGAAGTGCCTTTGGATTGCAAATGTTGGAATTATTTGGTATAATAGATAACCATTCTCTAAAAATGACTTTTGATTTCTGGTCTGTAGGCGTCTACAAAGTGACCCCTCGTTCCTGCCACCGGTTTGAACAAGCTTTCTACACCTACGACACGTAAGCCTGGCTGGGTTATTAAATACTTGGTGGCGTTTGTGTACATTCTGTGGAGGAGAGTGACTACATTGAGCACAATGTCTCTCTGTTTTTGAGAACAGATGGAATTTTTCTCTTTTTTTTTTCTAGAAGAGGCAAGGGTAGGCATTAGAATGTGTTTCTAGATAACGATTTTAAGACACTTGGATAAATGACTGAGGAAATGAAAATGGGATCTGATTTCCCAAGAATTCTGCAAACCAAGAATAAAAGGCTGTGTTTTTGCAGTGACCTAAGTATAATCTTTGTAGGGCTTTCTAGCTCTCACTGGTGGGAATTTCTCCAGTTCAAGCCTACTGTTTTATAGTTTTGTAACCGTCTGGGGTTTTCTGGGAATTGGAAGGGTAAGATGTTTGCATTTCGATTCAGTTTACTCTGGACCACCTGTGTGTGTCTTTTAGGCATGATCTTGTCTGTGAGTAAGAGTGCTTTTGTGTCGTATGTTTCAGAGCCAGGAGGGTGTGTTGGGGATCCTTGGAGAATGATGAGAGTGTTCACAGTGCTTGTTTCTCCTCTTCTTTGATTGATAGGTCTTCACCCAGTATCTTGACATTGACAGCCATTCGCCATCATGTCCTTGGAACCATCACCACTGACAAAATGATGGATGTCATTGTGACTATCAAGTAAGACTCGTGGTCCGCGGGGGGCTGGGTGTGGGGGCTGTGGACAAGGCCTGGAGTACTCGAATAGACTCTGAAAATCAGTTTTGATTTCTTATCTCTAGGTTAGTACTGATGGCCTTCCCTCGCTTATATTTCTGTGTCACTGCTGTAAATTCACAACAGCCTCGATCCTTTTCTCTGATGATTTAGGAATTAGCTGTGGATGAGATAGAGCCTCTGACAGCTTGTTCCAGTGTCTTAAATTTTTGTCTGAATGCTTCACACTTCCTGGCTTTGCTAAGGAGAAAAAAAGAATTTGAGCATCATATTGCAAGTGTTTTTAGAAAATTCAGAAAAATTGTCTACTTTTCTTTAGACGTTTGTTGAAAGCATGGGAACTAGAGATGGCACCTGATACAGGGAAGGTGATGAGCCTGACAGTACAGGGGAGGCGGCCTCTCACTGAGGTCAGGCTCACGTGGATACCAGCTTTGAGAGGTATTGTTGCTGCTTGGTGAGGGGCACGTACTGGCTGTTGTGTTTATCAGACACCGTCGTTTTCTCCAGAAATGAAAGGAAGAGGGTGGCAGCAACATGACACTCTTTGTCAAATGGAATGGAAATCGGAGTAAGGGTCTGTCACCTCGCCTTAGTTGAAGGGTTGGTTTTGCAGGTTCTGCTTCCATCTTGAGCCCTGCTGGCGCAGGTGGTAAGCACTCTACTCTAAGATGGGTAGTTAGAACCCACCAGCTGTGCCATAGAAAAAGAATTGGCCATCTGCTTCCAAAATGATTACAGTCTTGGAAACCCTATGGGGACAGTTCTGCTGTATTGGCTAGGGTCTCTGTGACTCGGAATCAACTTGACTGCATTGGAACTTTTCAGTGCTTTGTGTCCATCTTTCTCTCCAACCATCTCTTCATCCAGCTACTGAGAATCTTCAGAGTCTAGGCAGTGGGCCTAGGCCACAGCCCTATCCTTCAGGAACTTACTGTCTCATGCAGTATCATACTGTAATAATACAACTGTGACAAATGCTGTGAATTTGACCTTGGGGGAGTGGGAGATGGAGACTGGTAGAGGGCAGGCCATGTTGGGGGCCTTAATCTTTGCCCCCTGAGCCACGGGATGCTCCAGATGTGTTGTAAATAGATGACCTTTTTGACGGCTGAGTGGAGACTGGGAAGGTGAGTGAGGCAGACTCTTGCAGGAGTCTGAGTGAGCAATGATGGGGCTGTCAGCTAGACTACTAGGGAAGTGGGTAGGCTCGAGAGCAGTTGAGAGGACTGAATGGATAGGATGTGGGCTCAAGGATAGGGAAAAGTCAGTAATAGCTGTAGGTCTCTGGCTGAGGAAACTGGCTCTGTGGGACTGCTGTTCACTGAGCTGGGGAGCCAGTTTCTAGGAGGAAAGATCTGCTGAGTCTGCTGGTGCTGGAGCAATGCATTTTCCTAGTTTCTGCTTGGAAATATGGGTTCCTGGCATGACTAGAAATCCATATTCTTACCAGTGTTGTGTGTCATTGAGTTGGTTCTGACTCAGCAACCCTGCATAGGATTTCTTGAAAGCAACTTGTGGATTTGAACTGCCAATCTATTGGTTAGCAATCCAGTGTTTATCCTATAGCGCCACCCCAGGGCCCGTTCTTACCACGTCGTTGTTAAGTGCTGTTGAGTCAATTCCGACTAATAGAGATCCTGTGTAGGGATTCCGAGGAGCGGCTGGTGGGATTTAACTGCTGACCCTGCAGATCAAACCGATGTTTCAGTCCAGTGCATTATCTGGCCAGCGCCACACCAGGATTCCATTCTTACCAATAGTGACTCCATGTGGCCTCATTTTTGGTCTTTCCTACATTTAGTTTTGTAACTTCAGAAGGCATTTTGGTTTGTTTACGTGCACTGGCGGTTGCCCAAAATGCATGCTCCTGCTGGACACAGCCTCTTGGATCTGGCTTGGGGATCTTGTACTTAACATTCCTGAAGCCATACTTTTGGCCATTGCTCTCCACAAACCTACTCTGTAGTAGGCCCTGTTTCACAAATGTCAGCTCTTTCTAGTTGTTCCCGGACTTCTCTTTCCTATTCCATAGCCCAGTGTCGTAGCCCATCTGCTGGCATACTCTACCTTGGACACCATCGTCTCTTACCTGGATTATTGCAGCAGCTTCTTAACTGGTCTCCCCGTTTGGACCCTGGCCTCCCAGTAACATGTTTTCTTTGTGGTAGCCAGAGCAGTCTTTTTTTATAGTAATAAAGACTGCCTCATTTCTTTATTCAAAACTCCTGTGGCTTCTCATCCCACTCAGGAGAGGATGAAATCCAAGGTCTGTACCAATGTCTGCAAAGCCCCCATGTGACACCTGCCACCTCTTGGATCTCTCTCTGACTGATCTAATGTCCTTGTGTCACTGTGCTCCAGGATACACGAGTCTGCTTGCTGTCCTTGAGCATGCCAAGGACTCATACCTGCTGTCCTCTTGCCTTATAACCCCTTCACCCAGGCGGCCTTTCTCTTCCTTCCTTTGGGTCTTTGCTCGGATGTCACCTCCTCAGAGAGACCTGGGGTGGCCCAGGAAACTAACAATGCCATACTGCCTTGTTTTGTTTTTCGTCATTGTACTTATCATCTGACATTAGTTATCTGCTTATTACCTGCCTCTGCCCATTAGGTGGATTCCAGGGAGCTAGAAGGTAAGTCTGATTAGTTTACTGCTGTATCCCAGTGCCTCAGGCAGAATCATGGTATGTTCTTGATAAATATTTACTGAAGGAGAAAAGAATGGGGTGTAGACAGCGGCATCCGTTTTTATGAAAGCGCATAAAGTCAAGCTGTCTTCTATTCCAGCTCACAGCCACAAGATACTTCTACAATCCCTAAAAGCTCAGTTTCTGGTTCTCTTAACAATAAGTTTATTCCCAACAGACCAGTCCACTTTGAGGCTGTTGTTTTACGTGTGAGTCCCACTGGAGAAGTGACCACCTCCTCATGGAACACCCCTTCCTTCCTTCTCTCCAGGTCTTCCATTGACAGTGAGCCTGCCTTAGTCCTAGGCCCTCTGAAGTCTGTGCAGGAGCTCCGGAGGGAACAGCAGCTGGCAGAGATTGAGACCCGCAGGCAGGAGAGGGAGAAAAATGGTAAAGATGATGGCGGAGAAGGGAGGGCCAAACCACCTGTGCAGGAGATGGTAGATGAACTACAAGGCCCCTTCTCATATGATTTCTCTTATTGGGCACGGTAAGCTCGCTTGCACTTTTTTTCTACATTGTCCTCTGTTCTGATGCTTTTTTGTTTAGTGGGTGGGACTGAAATGGCCAAATGGAAACATGTTCATTATTTCAGGTCTGGGGAGAAAATCACTGTCACACCCTCATCTAAAGAGCTGCTCTTCTATCCCCCTTCTATGGAAGCTGTCGTCAGTGGAGGTAAAGATCAGCGCAGTCCCCTCTCCACACCTGCCCTTGAGTGTTTAGTTTTGTGTTAGTAGAGTGAAGTCGCCTTTGTAAGCCACCATAGTGCATCCTCATTAACACCTAAATGTCATTATTTCATGGATGGGTGGATGAATGAGTGAATGAAAAGTCTCAATCAAGAGTAATGTTTGCTCTTAGAATTGAGGTGATCTTTTTGGAAAAGGACTTGGTTTGCTTGTAGGTGTAGAACAAACCTTTCAGTTACTTACATGCGAGTCACTCATCTTCACATGTCTGAATATGATTTTTATGGTTTTTGGACAGGGGTGTTGGGAATAGTTTTGGGGAATGGCTTGTGGAGTAGTGTGTGCCTTTGGGCTGCTGATCATGTAAGTTCATTAAACCCTGTGGGTTGGTGGGGTTAGGATTTGGAAGTATATGTGTAGACGAGTCCTTATTGGTGGTCTTGTAAGGACCGAGGGATAGGAAGAGTATAAATCCAGCCTTTGTTAGCATTTCCTTTGGAATTCTTTGGCAGTTGAGCAAGACCTTTCAGGGATGTAGAGAGCCTTGGACCACTTTCACAGTTTGGAGTTTCTGGTATATTAAATACCGTAATTGGAGCTAGCTTTCAGATGTCTCAGTTATAGGTCCCTATTGAATGGGCCAGCCCCATCACAAGGTATGTCTTTCTCTGCAGCTCAGTCCCATTCCTTTGTCTGTTTCTTCCCCTTTTAGAGAGCTGCCCAGGGAAGCTGATCGAGATCCATGGGAAGGCAGGCTTGTTTCTAGAAGGCCAGATCCACCCTGAGTTGGAAGGAGTCGAGATTGTCATTAGTGAAAAGGGGGCAAGCTCACCCTTGATCACTGTTTTTACTGATGACAAAGGTGCCTATAGGTAAGCCTATGATGAGAAGGATTTGCTTGGGATCAGTTGGCTTCTGCAGCTCTCCTCAGAATTTAAGGAGCCCACATTTCCTTATGGTAAATGACCTGTCTTTCAAGATAGGAAACAAAGCCATGTGCGCTGTTTGCTTTCTTCCTTTCTTTCAGCGTTGGCCCTTTGCACAGTGATCTGGAGTATACTGTGGCCTCACAGAAGGAAGGCTATGTTTTGACTGCTGTGGAAGGAACCATAGGAGACTTTAAGGCTTACGCCTTAGCTGGCATAAGTTTCGAGGTAACACTGCATGTTTTTAAAAGCAGGAGTTTTGGTTTTTGGGTGTTTAGGTTTTGTTTTGTTTTTTAATTTTAATTAGTCATTTTTACTTATTTTGTTGTTATTGTTGAGAATATACACAACAAAGCATAACACCAATTCAAGAGTTTCTCCCTGTATGTTTTAGTGACATTGATTATATTCTTCAAGTTGTGCCACCATTTTCATCCTCCCCCCCCACATCACCATAACATAAGTCCACATACCTCTAATGTTCCGACCTAATTAAAAGTTTTCTTGGGGTCTAACTGACTTATAATAAACTGTTTATCTTGATAATGTTTTGATATATGAATGAATATACTCATGAAAAACATTCTAATGATGGGAATTGTGAACATGCCCAGCACATGCCAGTCCCCTTGTGCCTCATTGTCTTCCCTCCGTCCTACTCCTTCCCACCCACAGTCCCCAGGCCACTGTTGATCTGCTATCCCTGTTGATGATGTGTCTGTGTATTCTGATGCTTTGTGTAGATGCAGTCCTACAAAATCGACTCTTCTGTCTGTCTTCTTTCACTCACCATAATGGAAGATCTGTTAACTTTAGGATGTTTGTACCCTTTGAGGAAGTGTGTTCTGTTTTCATCCGTAACTCTGTTCTGTGTTGGAGGATTCAGAATGTTCCTCTAGTGGTGTGTGATATCTTTGTTTCTTCTCCCAATCCTTTTTGGGAAGAAGCAGGCAGTGGCATGTGCAAAGTGAATCTGGAGCTCCTTGAATGAATATTTACAATGGAGAGGCCAAAGAAAAAGAACAACTGAGTGTATCCCATAGAAGTTGAAAGTGTTGTGTTGCAGAGTACGTTTTAAATCAGCTTAAAAGACATCCCAGCTGGAAAGAAATATTTGTACTGTAAATAGTATTCCAGTTTTCAAAGAACTGCAGATCTCTAAAAAAAAAAAAGAAAAAGGCAAGTCAGAAAAACCTGAACAAAGGCTATGAAAAGACCAGAGAAGTAAGACAAATGATTCATAAACAAAGACAACATGTCCAACCTCATGTAGTTACTGAGGAAATTTAAAGGAAGTTACTGAAATACTGTCTTTTTGGTTACATTTGCAGCACTTAAAACAACATCCGTGTTTTGGTGCAAATGTGTTTTCCTACATGTATGTACTTTGTGGGACTCTAAATGGTTACAGCCATTTTGCAGTGTAATTGAGTAATCTCTTTCTGAATGTAAAGTATACATAACCAATCAGGTATTCCTAGAGATGAAATGGTAATGATGATAATGTTAAGAAGTAGAGAAAAACACAAGTGCCCAGAGAGATTGTATCTGGGAACGTTTAGGCTGCCTCTCTTTTTTGACTACACAGTAGGTGGCTGGCCTGCGTGCTGTGGTTTGTCGACCCGCTTTAGAAGTCTGTGCAGTTGTGAGCACCAGCGAGGCAGATGTCTGTGGACTGACACTAGGGGAGAGGCCGGACGAGCTGCCGAGTTGGATGTGTCCTAGTACCGTTCTTGTTTCCTTCCCTCCACGTCTCCTCCCTCCTGCGGTCGGCCGGCACTCTATGCTTTGTTTACCAATTCTTGTGGACACAGAGCTGGCAGGCTGCACACCACACCATTCACACTATTTACTCCTGGGATTGAAGAATCAGCTCTGCCCACCCCCCGCCCTCCACTGAATAACAACTACAGAGAAAAAGAAAGAAAGAAAAACCATTAAGAATTACCTCTGGATTTGTGAAATAACAAGGAGCTTTAAAAAGTTTGTGGAAAAATTCCATTTTCTTTGAATTCTATTTTTCCATGACCTTCTTGAAGCTTCCCTATGACCTCTTCATGGTTGTATGCGTTAATTAACCTTGCTTGGGCATTACTTTTTCACCCTCAGATAAAAGCTGAAGATGACCAGCCCCTCCCTGGGGTCCTCCTGTCCCTCAGTGGTGGCATGTTTCGTTCCAACCTCTTGACCCAGGACAATGGCATTCTGACGTTCTCAAACCTGGTAAGGTACCCTTCTGTAATTGACTGCCCACAGGCCATCCCCAAGAGAAGGAGCAGGGACATGGGCACCGGACTTGTGTATTGCTTGACAACGTGAGAACAGAAAGGCAACTCAGAGTGTTTCACATTCCTTTGGAGACCAAATGTAATTGGAGTCTTGCTCAGACTAGGACTTAATGCTGCTGATTCATGTTCCCGTCTGCATACACTTCTTGTTTCCTGGTCACCCACTTGTCACTAAGACAGTGTAATTAATTGCCTTGGCCCCTGCGGCTCCTCCCTGGGCTTCACCACCACGTCGCATTGGGTAGTGTCAGGCTGCGTTTGATAGTTGGTTTGTGCTTCATTTTGCAAAGCGGCAGAAATCATTGAGGTTGAGCCTAGGCCCCCAGGGCACCCTTACCTCGTTCCAAGGTGTGGAGGAACCATGGAGCCAGCCCCCAACCCCGTGTACACGCCCCCTGTGCACATGTGCCTTGTGTACACATGCAGGGGTAGGAGGGGGGGTGGTCAGTCCTGGAGCAGGGCCCTGCAAGCAAAGTTAGTGGCCATGGCTTCCATGGGACTCTTTCTCCTCTTTCTGTTCTGTTTCGATTTTCTGTGAGGTGCAGGGAGCAGCTAGATGACAGCTCTGTCTTACTCTGACACGAAAGAAATTGGGAGGGCACCTTGTGGCAGGAAAGCAGTTCTCTCAGCCCATGCCATGGGTTCACATGGTCCTGGTGAACGTACCACTGTTGTGAGGCCTCAAGGGGCCCTGGAAGGTGGGGAGGTAGCTCCAGGTCTTCATCAGAGGTATAGTCTGAGGAAGGTGCTCCTTGGTGGGGACCCAGGAAGTCCACATTGATTGTCCTCTTGTCCTCGAGTAAAATGATGGGCACAGGGATGTTGCATACCGGCAGCAGGGCACCTCAGAAAGATCATAGGCTCCGCTGTGATTCACCCTGCTCCAATTCTTGCCTCTACTACTGTGTTCATCTTAGGCAAATTGCTTGGCCTTTCAGTTTCTTCATACATAAAGTTCACACACGACTTCTGCCTCACTGGGTGATTGTAGGTTCCTAGAATGACAGCTGCCAAGTTATAGTCAGAATGGCGTTGGGACAGCTGTTTATTGTAGCGATAGGGCTGCCATCTGTCTGTTACCTGGAGTTACCAAGCTATTATTGTGGATGATCCTACCTTTGCTGGGCCCATTTGAGCCATCCCTGGATGCAGCAGCAGACACTCAGGTTTGTAGTGGTCTCTTGACAGAGCCCTGGGCAGTATTACTTCAAACCCATGATGAAGGAGTTCCGTTTTGAGCCATCTTCACAAATGATCGAGGTACAGGAGGGACAAAACCTGAAGATCACCATCACTGGCTACCGGACGGCCTATAGGTGAGCATCCCTGGCCGATGTTCAGACTTGGGGGTGAGCTGTGGGCTCACACTTAGCTGCTGGGCACAGCCTCAGGCCAGGCTTCAGGCTGGTTTCATATAGGGGCTGGGGAGTCAGAGACTTATCTATCTGCTGTCTAAAATTTCCTAGTCTGTAATTGGTCCAAGAAAATTCTCTAGTTGCTTAGGGTTTTTATTCTCTTTAAAAAGTTTTCAACTTGAATTAATAGTTCAAAAGAAAGAAATACAGTCACTTGAATAAAAATTCAAACTGTTAACAAATGTATGTAATGTAATTTTCCTCCTTGTCTCCCAGACAAGATACCCTTCCAGAAGGCAACTGGTATTTCTGAGTCTTTTTAATGCTTCCAGAGAGAATTTATGTACCTATTAGTGAAAAATATGTATCTATGTGAGATGGCCTCAGAAGGTTGGAGTAATGGAATGAAAAGATAATGGGATTTCTCCACAAACTCTTTGAAACCTCCTTGAATATATACACTCTACAAATATGTTGTTGTTGTTTTTAAGTGTTGTTGAGTTGGTTCTGACTCATGGCGTCCTGTATAAGGTTTCTGAAGAGCTGCTGGTGGGTTTGAGCCACTGACCTTCCAGTTAGCAGTCTAGTGCTTATCCTACAGTGCCACACCAGGACTCCATATATAAATGTACACACACACAAACATATATTCACATGTGGTACTGTAGGATAATCTCTGGACCGCAGGTTGGTTTGAACCACAAGGTCAGTGGTTCAAACTTAACCAGCTGCTCCTCGGAAATCCGATACTGGGTTGTAATGAGTTGGAACCAACTTGACAACAACATGAAAAAGCATTTTAGATGAGATTAATCAGAAAGAATATGTGGGATGAAAGGAGAAGTGATTTTTAAATCTTATTGAATGCTTCATTATTTAAAACTTAGAATGAAATAAAGCCTAAGCTTTTTAGTCATCGTTTTCTGGAACTTTGTCCATAATGTGGTTTAGAAGAGGCACAGGTAGAACTCAGTCCCGTAGAGCACTGGGGCACAGTTCCGCCGGACTCTTTTACACCGTCAGCTGTAAGGACAATTTACCCGAGATTCTTTGTGTGGTTTAGAGACCCACAAGACTAATGTTTGGTTTCGTATCTTGGTCCTCCAGTTGCTATGGCACCGTTTCTTCTCTGAATGGAGAACCAGAGCAGGGAGTTGCCGTGGAAGCTGTGGGACAGAAGGACTGTAGTATTTACGGAGAAGACACCATGACAGACGAAGAGGGGAGGTTCAGACTACGTGGATTGCTGGTGAGACTTGGAGCACATTTGTCAGTGGATATTTTCACACTGTGTTCACTGGTGTCCTAGAGCTCCTCAGGACTGCTAGGAGTGTGTTAGGCCAGAGGACGGATAGTCACTCTCTAAACAGTCCGAGCTTGCCTTTTATCCCACTGCTATATTAGGCTGGGGTTCTGTGGCCTGAATAAAGTTTGAAAACCATGGGGTTGTTGCACCTTTTGCCTAATCTGGGGTGGTTAGAGCTCAGGCCCGGGATGGCAAACCAGTGCCTGGATCCTGAGAGCCTGATTGAGGGAGGTTGGTGTCCAGTCAGGAGTGGTTGGGGACTGGTGAGCTATCAAGAATGTGCCACATACAGACAGGGCAGCCTCCTTTCAGAGCCACGGGGGAAGAATGCAGAAATTCAGGTTTCCATGTGAAAACTTCTGATTTAAAATGTTAACTAGTTAAAAAACAACACCTGCACAACCTTTTTGTGTGGGCCAAACAAAAACCTATTTGTCCATTTGGCCTGTGAAGTGCCACATTTGGCTTAGGATTTGTGGGGCTTCTTCTCTCTGCATTTATCATTCTCACTGAATGCTCACTGGGTACTCAGTGTCTTGTGGAAGTTACCGAGCGGGCTGTTTGCAGTAGAACATCTTGTGGGGACAGCACCCACTGTGCTGAGCCACCAGGGATGGTGGTGTTAGTTGACCCCCATTGTATCTTGGTCACAGACTGGTATTTGCTTAAATAAGTGAGCTGAGATGCACATCAGTTTGTTGCTAGCTTATGCCACTGGGGGCAATGCTCTGTTTTCCCAGAGTCAGGGACACTCCTATGCATGTTCTAGGCATCTGAAGGTCAAGTTGGAAGGTTGCCCAGTGAGCATAGTGTGTCCAAGCAGAAGCACTGGGGGTGTCTTACCCGGCCATGCTAAGGACTGGAATATACTTGTTCTTGTGGAGTTGGTTATGACTCCTAACCCTCTGTATAGGGTTTCTGAGGAGCAGCTGGTGGGTTTTGAACCACCGACATTGTAGTTCAAACCGACCTTATGGTTCAGTGCTTTACCCTACAGTGTCATATAAATTTGATCATAAATTTGTTCTTAGATTTTTTTTTTTTTTTAAATAATAGCTTTATTTTCTTTGCAAAAATACCATGTGCTTATTATGAGATAATTCAAGCAATCTCTAGAACTGGAGAAAGATGAAAGTGAAAAAAATCAGCCTACAGCTACCACCTGGCAGTGCTTGTGGTTGACACGCAGTGAATGCCTTTCAGACGCCACTCTGTGTTCAGAGAGGGGTGATCAAAGCAGATTTAGCTGCTGGAGACAGAGCTGCATTATCCAGGCTTGTTGAGCAATACACTGTTACAGATTGGGCATTTTCCAATGAGGTGCAAATAGACATCATTGAACTTAGCCCAGTGCTTGTATTTGTTTTTTTTCTTGAATGTAATCACTGTTTGGTAAACATGAGACTTGACTAGGAGTTCAAACAAAAGAATAAAGGATATAAAGAAGAAAGTTTTTGTTTTGGTCTTAAAAAAAAGTTTCCAATCATATGTCTGAGATATAATAGACATTGTTGATCTTTGAAGGAACCCTGGTGGCACCATGGGTAAAATGTTGGGCTGCTGACCACAAGGTCAGTGGTTCAAATCCACCGGCTGCTCTGCGGAGAAAGATGAGGCCGTTCTTCTCTGTCCTCTAGGGTCGCTGTGAGTGGGAATCAACTCAACAGCCATTGGGGGAGGAGAGGGATTAACCTTTGGGAGTGTCTTTCCAGATGTCACAGGTGGAGGGGGTAGTGGACAGCAAAGAGAGAAGGAGTGTGTAAGAGTAAGAGCATACGATGCTTGCAGTTTTAAAATACAAAGCTAAATGGATTTTTTTGTGTGTGAGTAGCAGAAAATGAAACTGAATAGGGAAGGAAGCAATTGTAGAACTTCAGCTAGATGTTTCTCTTAACATGGGTGCATTTTTTCTCGTTTAATCTCCTTGTGGTAGAATACATGGGAGGGAGCTTCATAAACTTTGTGGAAAAATTCCATGATCTTTTTTTTTTGAAATGTTTTATTGTGAATTATGTGACCGTTTACATGGGAGAACATTAGTTTTACATTCATCCTGT